TGCGCTTCCTGCTGCGGCCTGGCGCTGTCTGACTTGGAGACTGCTGGAGTCCAAGGCTCTACCCACACGTTTAATGGCTCTTGATAACTCCTCCCCCTTCTAATGTGGCCAGTTTCATGCAATGATTAGGAAAAGCCTGTCGTGCTCTGTAAAAGTAAATAATGTTGTGATTAGCCTCTCGTTCATGTTTGCCTTCATGATACCGACCTGGCCTTGTGGAATAGGTAGATAATTTCTACTGATATTCGGAGTTCAGAGCTGTTTCTTCCAGGCTCAGATGGAAAGGTTGCTTTTGTACTGTGATCAGACACAACTGTGTGAGTCCCATCTTGGAATATAAAACTACCTGCCTTGGAAAATTGTAGCTTTCCAGTAATGTAGTGTGTTGCTTGCATAAAATTGAAATTATCCTTCCATGCTTACTATTGATTTCAGTTAAAAATGGTGTAATCGACTGTTTGTCTGTAAAGACTATTCGTTGTTCCCAGCAATGTGCAAAAAAGACATTGTGGTGTGTGTGATGTTTTTTGTTACCGAGGGAGATGGGAATTGGACAGTGACATGTGGCTGCAGAAGCTACTTTAGCAATTGATGAAAGCTGATAATCTTGCAGCTCTTCCAGAGTTGTTTTTTCAGAGATATTTGGAGTTGTTTCGCATGTGGGGAAATTAACAAGTATTTCTGTGTAAAATTCTTGCAACACGTTGTGGTGATCTCAAGCTAAGCACTTGACTACTCTGCTCTTTACTTTGATCATCGGTGTTCTGACTTTTTTTACTATTTTGTTTTTACTCTTTAGGGAAAATTACATGACTTCTGGGAGCCAGATTCATGAAATCTTGCCTAGTTCAGGGAAAATAACAGAAAAAACTCTGAAGCTGAGGAAGATGTAGAATGAATGGAGTTTCACCTTGGTGAGAACAGAAGAAATCAGTCACCTGAGTTAGAATTGAAGCTTGATTTGGGCAAATACTAGAAACTAATCTAATTTGATTAACAGTACTTTTTTTTAAATAAACCAGTTCTGAAAAATTGAAGTGGGTAAATTGAAGAAAACATAGCTATCTCTGTATTGTCTTAATTGACTAGAATTATTTTACTGTGTTGGAAACTGAGGGAAGTTTTCACGTTCCCATTGTTACTCACAAGACATATTTGAAAATGATCTGTATTGGTTTTCTTGCCAGCACGCACCTGCGAGCATTGTTTTACGATGGCTGGGGAAGAACTGCCCTGTGACCTAAAATGTGAGTTCAGAAAGTGTTAGACATGCCCTGTTGTGAGCAGGTGAGGCAGTGGTCCGAACTGAACAGAGTAACTGCAAAGCAGAATTGGCATGACCATCCGATGTCTCTAAAAAATAAAAAATACAGCAGTTGCATGTGAACAAATGACTGTTCTCATGTTCACTTGAGGGTGGGATCAGATCTTCAGAGTAGTTGTGCCCAAACAGGTTAGGTGAATGAATGCTTCTTTGCTCTGTGGTTATGCTTTATCACATAACAAAATGGAATTTGTTATGGCAGCGATGCATTCATTCTCACTGAACTTCCTCATGTTTGGGCATTAGGTTATTTATGCCACGAATGTGGCTGCACAGGAAGTGTTTGCTGTAAGACAGATTACAAATGAGATTTTACCACACCAGTAATACTGTTGTACTGCTCTTTAAGAAACAAACACACATCTGTATTGGTTATCTGACTTCAGCACTTTCTCTAAATGGAGAAAATACTAATCCTTAAATCTCAGCTCAGCAGATATTTGAGGACCTGAGCATTTGGCCCATCTATGTGAAAACTGTGGAAGCCAAGGTCAGATTTCCCTTGTGCAAAGTCTCACCACACATGCAGCATGTGTGCGGAGCTCCAGGAGCTGTTTGTGAAATGCTCCAAGGAAGATGAGATCTCCTTTTGCGCTCTTGGAGCGAATGCCAGCGTTTCAGTGTTAACACTGTGGTTTGTCTGTAGGGTGTGTGTATGTGAAGAGAAAGTTAAGGTGTTAAGTAGAAGCACCAACTAAGTGAGATTTCTAGTAATATCAACATGTGCATTTTATAATACTGTTTCCTTTTAATTTTTGTAATTACCCTGTCTTACTTTGTATGACAAATTTCCTATGACTTTCCATGATGAGAATGTAAAATAGGACTCAGAAAAAAGCAAAACCATCCTTAACATTTAAGTATGTCTATTACATATAAAGGAACTGCTATAGAATGGACACATGTCCTCTAGGGAAGATATTTTATTTGCAAATTCATACTAAATGTTTTGTCTTACATTTCAAGTGTTAAGAGAGTTAGCCTAAGACTGCAGTGTCTCTGTGTCTTTCACAAGATAATCAGCTTATCTTTGTTCAAACAAAAATTGTGCTCGTCGCATTGTTCAATGGGGAAAGAAAATAAAATCCCCTGTTTTAGTCTCAGCATCTTATTTAAGAATTGGAAGAATCTACCTCAAAAGGTATCTTGTTTTGGCAGTAGAACTGCTTTAGGCTAAAAAAAAAAAATTGCTGTGGTGTTATATAGGTGTGGCCACACCATCCTTTACTCTGCCTGTCTCTGATACTGTATCAGCCTTCCCTCTTTTAGCAGTTGCTTACTCTGTTGAATATATTGTACGTAATTTTATTAATTTTTATATTTTTTCTCACTAATGTTGTATAAAGTTTTTTAAAAAATTGCAGAATACGTTTACTGTATGTAATGTGGATATATTTTCTTACCATGTAAAGTTGAAGTTGCTGTCCTGTATATTTTGGAGAAGGAAAGGGGAGGGCTGTAGATGAAGAGCTTTTGTAGTGCAGTTCAAAGCACATTGAAACTGCTGAGGGTTTTTTCCAGATGAAATAACCACTTTGATACTTACTTTTATTTAATAGAACAATGAAACAAATAAAACTAGACATGCTTTTCTAATTAAATGTCCCTGGACAAGATGAGCATGCCTCAGCTCCGTTTCACAAAAAAATGGCTGCAGATCCTGTTTTGATCTTAGGGCACACGTTAGAATTCTTAGGTTCCTGGCTGATTAGCTTACTATGAATGGTGAAAGTCTTGAAGTCATTCTTAGCGCAGCCAGTTGTGTGTGTCCATGCCTAATGCCTGTGTGTACCTTCTGGCATTTTCCCTCTCTCTTCCCCCCTCCTGCTTTGTCTGGACTTTTCTTCCATCTGTTTTGTAGCCGAGTAGTAATTCCCCAGTTGCTTCAGTCTAGACGTGGGTTGAATCGGAGCTCATCGATACCCTTCCAGGGGTGATCCCGAAGCGTTGCTGCAGAGCCTGCACAAGGGACTGTCGGGCTGAGCGCTGCTTCAGGACTCCTGCAAATGAATTGTACTCCGGCTGCCGTTGTGTTCTGCAGACTCATTTACTGGCCCCCAGCCAAAAGTTAGGTGCATTGGAAAAGGCTGTTTGCACAGTAGATGTCTTAACTGCTTCGGTTGTCTTCAGATAAGAATTTTGCACTGAGGTTTGTCTTTTGATATTATGTTTGCTGTATTAAGAGCCATGTTATCTCATTTCATGTGAAGTTAGGTGCACTTTATTGCAGTAACCACAGACAAAAAATTAAAGGCTGTATATAAAATATACATTTGTGGCACTTTGCTTTTTTTTTTTTAATTACTGTTTTCTGACTAGCCTCTGTATGGCTTAAAAATAAAAAGGTTCTGGCTTTAAATTGAAGAAGCCTGCCTGTGAAACTATTTGCACGTCTCCAGTCTCACTGTTCGTGTTGTGGAACTCGGTAATGGATGGGGATTTCAGAAGTGATTAATGACTTGCAGGTAGGTCTGGCTGAAGGTCAGTAGGACGCGTTCGCTTCATTGACGCGGTGGCTGCAGGAGCTCTCTGAAGTCCCCAGAGCTGATAGTTGAGTCGAAGTGTCTTTGGGAAAAGCGGACGACTGGAACAAACATGTGAAGTGTGCTGTTGTTATTGGTGGAGCGGCTAACGAGATCGCCGTGTGATGGGATTTTAGAGGTAGCATTTCAGTGTGGAAAAAGACTTTTTTTTTTTTAAAGAATGAGGGATGGATAGTGCAGTGTTAGTTTACTGAGCACAGACCAGGTCTGTCTCCATCAGAGGTGCGTGCGCTCAGCATGGTCTGGCAGCCAACTCTGGTCTCAGAGGTGGCCAAGACATGAGGAAGGTGGGTTGCGGTCTGCCTTGTCTCTAGCGAGTTGTTCAAGCGAGTACTTTGAGGTAGTTGTGTTACAAAGAGGGGAGGATTCTGCTGAGCCCATCAAGAGCAGGAACACTCACAAGCCACAGTCTTAATGCTGGTCTTGTATATTTGTTTTTCTTCTTTCCCAGCAGAACTGCACATATAGCATAGCATCCCTGGCTTGGGTTTGTGTTTTCGTTTTTTGTTTGTTTGATTTTCTTCCACTGGCTTCTGGTGTTTGTTTCTGTTCCGCTGCAAGGGGCAAAACAGAAAGGTTTGCTGCTGGACGTGACCCTTATGATTCTGCTGGGGGCTCATTCCTTGGGCTTACAAGCTTTTGAGAAAAAACTTCTGCCCACTGGGAAGCACTCCATTGTGCCAGGGGTGCGGCTGTTGGCACAGACACTTCTGTGCTTGTTTCTGCATCCTGAAAAAGAGAAGAGAGAGGCTCAATGAGCTTGTAGGAGCCCAGGCAGCTGCTGTGGGATCTTCCCTTGGAGCTCCAAAGGAGCTGCCCAGAGAGGTAAGACACTCATTAGTGAATTTAGTTCACTCCTTGTGGTTTAAGTTATCAGAATGCTCTCAATGGTGTTCAAATTGCCTTTTTCCCTTCCCCCCTCCAGGCTGTGAAATAACTCGATGTTTTGCCTTGTGGATGTTGTGCCAGTTTTAGTCATGGGGGCCCTTTCTTATCTGGTGTTGAAAAGAGGTATCAGTGTCAGGGAACAGTGTGGGCTGGTGGTGGGGAGGATTCTAGAGAAAGTAAATTCCTCGAAGGGCTTCTCCTTGCAGAGGTGCTTTTAATTTTGCCTGACTGCTGCTTTTTCCAGCCAGTGCTTCCTCGCCTTTGCAGAACAGAGTTTGAAAGGGAATATTTTATCTGGTATCAAAAGTAGGGCTGGGTGGTGAGAGAAGAGAAACATTCACATCTTCGTGTCTTGATAGTTTGGTCTGGATGCTGGAAGCTGATCCCAATACTTAAAGGCTGCCGCTTAAGGTGTAATTTCAGGTGACTTCTAAGTGGTGTTTGGGTATGTTGTGCGTTCTTGAATGTCTCCTCTCTGCGTGATTTGCTGCTGCGAATGTTTCATCTCTTTCAGCTTCCCTGCTGCCTCACAGGGAGGTCATGAGGAGGGAATGGAAACTCAGCTGGAATTGTTCCCTTCGTTGTCATCGGGATGTCTTTGCCATCAGCCTGGGGTGAGACCTGAGGCTTTTCAAGGCAGGTTTGACCTGTACGGTGTGTAGGGGAGGGCTCGGGGCGGCGGGATACGGGGCCTTTTTCACGCCCCCTTCTGCCAGTGCTTCCCTTTGGGTCTGCATTCACCTCTGCAGCTGTCTGAAGGTGGGCAAGTGACGTTCCTTCCCTCTCGCAGAGAAAAGCAGAAAGGGTAAACCGATGGTTTGCTGCTTTTGTGCTATCCGGCGAGTCCTTTACCGGACCAGGGAGTGCTGTGAGCTGGGGATCGGCTTTTGGGGTCTGAGACTTTGCCTCGGGGTCTTGTTTCTCTGGAAGCCTGCTTGGAGATGAAAGTCCTCGCTCTCTCGGAGCACAGACAGGAGCAGGGGGTCTCTTTTCTCTCCAGGATGACCACCAGGCTGCGGCTGGAATAAAAACGATAGCTTAAAGCTGCCAGGCTCAGCAGTGGGGAGAGGATGGCTGGGC